TGTTGCACTGCAGAGACTCCCCTGCCAAGTCAATGGTGAGGTTGACAGATTCTGGATGCAGCTACATCTTCTGACTGTCTGTGTCTCTGTGTGCAAACCACTTATCGTTTCATACTTAACTACTTCACGGTGGTGGTGTTAGGATTAATTGATGATTGTTCAGGCTTTTGAGGAGATTGTGTACTCTATAAATACGGATTATTATTGGGTGCTTTTCAATTCCTACAACTCAGGGATTTGAGGTTATGGCAGTGATGGGGTGGGGAAAGATTGTGGTGTGTGGAGAAGAAACTAGAATGTACTTGGGAAGAATCAGTCATGAAGACTTTGTTTGATAATGTGATGTTTGTAACCAGAGAATAAAGGTGAGGGTGGACTTTCTGGGGTGTCAGCCAGCACTGCGACCTACTCATGCAGTTTCATTTAATTGCTCTTTATAAACTGTTGCTTTTCTATTTGTCTTCAGAATCTTAATTACTTTTATTCCAAACGCAAGAGAGATCCTCTCACCCTAAGCCAAGAATTGACTTGAGACCACAAGGCCCGTCCATATGGGATCTCTTATATTTTGTAGTAACATTGCTGGTAATCGGCCTTTAGCTAGCAAGTAAGAAGGCATTCTCAGTGTTGCTTCATCTTCCTCTATATTGGGCTGACAGTTCAAATGCAGCAGGACCCTTTATGGCAGTGGTTTTCAAACTGCGGGTCACGACCCAGTACTGTAAGGCACTGGATCGTGGCAGCTCTGGTCAGCACCACCGACTGGGCCGTTAAAAGTCCCATCGGCAGTGCTGCCCGGCTAAGGCAGGCTAGTCCCTACCTGTTCTGACACCGCGCTGCGACCCGGAAACAGCCGGCAGCAGGTCTGTCCCCTAGGTGGGGGGGGGCCATGAGGCTCCACACACTGCCCCCGCCTCGAGCACCGCCTCCGCACTCCCATTGGACGGTTCCTGGCCAATGATAGCTGAGGGTGGGCGGTGCCCGAGGGCGAGAGTTGCGCAGAGCTACTTGCACACCACCGCCTAGAAGCCGGACCGGCGGCTGGCCACTTCCAGGGCGCAGCGCAGGCCCAACCCCATGCCCCAATCCCCTGCCCCAGCCCTGAGTCCCCCCAAACCCAGAGCCCCCTCCTGCACCCCAACCCTGGTCTCCCCCAGAGTCTGCACTCCCAGCCCCAGAGCCCTGACCCACTCAGAGCCCCCTCCCAACCCCAGCCCAGAGCCCCCTCCCAAAAACTGAACTCCTCATTCCTGGCCCCATCCCGCAGCCCTCATCCCTCTGCCCCAGCCCTGAGCCCCTCCCGTACCCCAACCCCCTCATCCCCAGCTCTGTTGCGTCATGGGCATCAACAATTTTCTTCAACTGGGTCACCAGAAAAAAAGTTTGAAAACCACTGCCTTATGGGGAAGGCTTAACTTCTGGGCTTGGTTTTGGGCTTCTTTTAACAGCAGCACCTCCATGTTGGAAACATCTGCAAAATAACTGCAGTAACCTCTGGGGAAGGTGGCTGACTGGCCTTCCAGCTGCTAGGAAATGGTTTGTTCCTTAAGTGTCTGAATGTTCAAAATGAGTTCAGGATAAATACTAACACCCTGAATAAGACTTGTTTAACAGAGGCTTTTTACAGTAACTCTACGTGAGAGGCAGAGCTGGCTTTTGTGAGAAAGTGGGCCAAGGAAGAGACTCTGTGAGACAGTCCCAACTTCGACATGAGTTGCTGAGTGCAATGATCAGCACTCTGTGAAATCTTGCATACTTGCTAGATGACCTCCTTTGGCTGGAACTGCCCTGGGTTTTTAAACTTAGTTCTTGGGACTCTGAGACCTGGCCAGTGGCACAGGCAGTTGGTCAAGAATTTTTTAAAGCTGAGATCCTGCTTAAGATGTTGCTGTATGTAGCAGACTGACCTCAGCATGTGGCTTTGAACTTCTCCTTCCAGCTCTCCCAGCCTCTCTGTGTGTTTAAACACCTGTAAGAAAGGCTGAGGCAGGAATCCAGATTGCTCAGTCCCAGACTGTCTCCCTGCTGCTGATTCGGCAGATGGGCTAGGCTACAAACTTCATCTCCACCATATATGTGGCCAGCAAAGCAGAAGCATCAGCTTCTGCAAAGCTGCAGTCAACAGGGTAGAGGGGAGGATAGTGATGGGAATCAGTGGGTGCTGTGACACAGAAAGAGGACATCATCAAAGGGAGAGAGACAGGGACATTACAAAACTGGCTAAAATGCGGGGACACAGAAAAGGAAGTTCACAAATAAGCTGAGGTATGTAGTTAGAAAGGAAGGAGGAGAGAGAGCCATCACGGGAAGGAAAAGGGAAGGATGGTTTCACATAAGGCACTAGACTGGGCAGTAGAAGATCTGAGTTCAGTTTGAGAGTCTACTGTGGACTTCCACTGTGACTTAGGGTGAGTCATTACATTTTTCTTGTGCCTCAGTTGTATATCTGTCAAATGAGGATGATATTTCTTTGCATCAGAGGTACGGCTTCTGATTTTAGGTTTTAAGTGACAAACACCAATAAAACACACCCTGATTTAAATAAATAAATTAATTAAAAAGGCAGTGTATCCAATAAATATGGAAAAAACACCAGAAATGATCATTTGTTTTTGAAGACTTGTATACCTGAAGCAGTAATGTGGACTACGGGGTGTGTGTGTGTGTGTGTGTGTGTGTAATTTCTATAGTGTCCTAGTGTATTGAACATTAAATGGTCTGTGTAGGCCCCACTGGTGTGCATTAAAGGTTCCCTAGTGCTGTTTGAAACAGTACTATATTAAAACACCCTAGGGACTAATACAAAGAGATTACTCATTATTGTAATGAGTAGTGTATATAATATACATTACGCATTACAGGATATACAGAGTCCCCAACCCCCCCAATTTTTGGACATCTACCTAAAACTCAAAAATTGCTAAAAATAAACCCCAACAAATTAAGTTAATAAACTCTGAAAAACAAAAGCCTTAATCATAGGGTGTTGTCAGGTTGTGCTCACTAATGTTGTTGAGGTGCTCTGATACCATAGTGAGAGGAAGGTCGTAGTAGCGAGAGAGAGAGAGAGAGAGAGAGAAAAGGGGAGTGAAGCCCCACAACCCACTCACTCCCATCAGGGGAGATTCATAGATTCCAAGGCCAGAAGGGATCATTGTGATCATCTAGTTCAGTGGTTCTCAACCTGCAGCCCATGGATCTTTTGCGGTCCAATCGCACACACCTCCGGCCCATGTGACATCCTCAGGGCCATACAGATAGTGTGTATATATATCATGTGGATGTGGCCCACATAACACACAAAGCTGCATATACAGCCCACAATGGTAAATAGGTTGAGAACCATTGATCTAGTCTGACCTCTTGGACCTCCTGTATAAGCAGGCCATAGAACTTCCCCAAAACTACAGCATATCTTTGAACTATTTTTTTTTAATCTTGATTTTAAAATTGCCAGTGATGGAGAATCCACCACAATGGTTGGTAAATTGTTCCAGTGGTTAATTATCCTCACTGTTAAAAATGTACTCTAATTCCAGTCTGAATTTTTTTATCTTCAACTTCTAGCCATTGGATCTTGTTAATACCTTTCTCCGTGAGACTGAAGAGCTCATTATCAAATGTTCTCCATTTGTACGGATAGTGATCAAGTCACCGCTTAACTTTGTTTGTTATGCTAAATAGATTGTGTTCTTTGAGTCTATCACCGACGCATGTTTTCTAATCCTTTAGGATGCTACATGATACATCCTTCCCTTAAAATGTCAGAAAAATTATTAAAACCTGTACACAGTTTCTTATTTTGAAGTGAATGTGCTCCTACTCTGTTTCAATCTAAATGTTGCAACCTCGTGTTTAGTGTAGGAGCCTGAAAGTACTGACTAGGGACAAAGAGTGACATTGAATACTGTAGTTCCCATTATCAAAATCTAAGTTAAGTGCAAAAGTAGGCAAATAGTAAAAACTAGGCTAGATTTAAAGAATTCCTCCACTGTTGATAATTTCAGGAGTCTTCAAAATCCTCAAGACTCTCTTCTTCCTGTTTGCCATTTGCCTCCTCCTGTTAATATTCACTTCTGATCTGTTCCCTGCAAATTACACCATACTCAATAAAGCAAAAAGCCCAACCAGTAGGAACTAACAAGATGTGTGCTTAACAGTTTGTTTGGATTTTCAGTACTTCTTTTCTCTGGCCATTTGTCTTGTCTAGTTAGTTTGTATTGCAAGCTCTTCAGGGCAGGGACTGTCCCTTACTGTGTTTACATAGTGCATAGTCCAATGGGGCTTTGATCTTGGTGTCAAGACAAAGGCAACTCTAGGAATTACTGTATTATTATAAGTAATAACCTTGTAACTTGCAACCTTTGTTGATCATCTCATCCTGTTATGTCTAATTTAGATTGTAAATACTTGTCTGTTTTTACCTGTCTGTATTAATAGCCTACATCATTCGTATGCTTCACACCTGAACCTTTTGTTTCTCATCTTTTGCCATAGATCTAATTCACACTGTAAACTCCTGGGGGATAAAGTCTAGTATTTGCTTGTTCTGGAGTGTCAAGCTTTACTCATGCCTGGAGCATGTTCAGTGCAAATAATTAAAGACAACAGAGTCTGCCCTAAAGCATGGGCCCATCTCCTGGGTCTGTGTCAGTAGTAGAACATTTAAGCAGGAAATGTTTAAACTAATGCCCATCTTGCTCTGGAGCAAAGTGAATCAAGGTGCTCCACTGGCATGTGCTACAACCAAACACTGTGCGTATGTGGAGTGGAGGTTATGATTTATTAACATGGTCGCCTGGGGAAAGCAAGACTCAACTCAATCAACCTGAAGTTCCTGGCTAACGAGCCGGTAGGGGCTGGAGAGGAAGCGGCCCATTAAGCCGTGCAGAGGGAGGAGGAGAAATGGGTGGAGCTGCAGCGGCCCGGGCTGCTGATGGGATGTGGGGGAGAGGGCGTGCCCCTGGCAGGCCGTCGCGGCTCCGCCTTGCGGGGCGGGCGGCAGGGAACCGTGCAGCCGCTCTTGTGTCTCGGCGGCGGCGGCGGCGGCGGCTGGGGGGACGGGGCAGGTCAGTGTGGCCGCCTGCCTTCTTCGTTTGTGTAGCTCCCCGCGTCTCTTCCCCTCTGCGATTATGGACTAGGGAAGAACTTGGAGCGGGCAGGCGCGGCGGTGCGCGGGGGGGCTGCGCTGCTGGGAGGCGGCGAAGGGATCCCGTCCTGCCCCGAGCCATCGACGCCGCTTCCCCTTCTCACTGTGCCGGAGATGTCGGGCTGGGGCAGCCGGAGAACCGGCTCCTCCTGGCACAGCAGCTTCTCCAGGTTCTTCACCAAGAGCCCTCCCCGGGCCAAGGAGGAGCAGGAGGAAGGGGACAAGGCGCACCTCCAGGAGCCGGCCACGCACAGGTAAGCACGCAGTCGCATCAGGAAGCGGTGGGGAACTTGTTGGGAACTTGCCTGCCTCAGCCTGGCTTTCTTGATTGCATTTTTCTTCCTCTCTCTCTCTTTGATCTGGAGGGATACGCTGAAGATCTCTAGTACGCCCCACCTACTGAGACCCAGCCCCATTGAATCCACTTTCATTTCTGGCTCCCTCCAGCACTGCACAGTGTAATGGGAAACAGTTGCCAACCAAACTCTTGGAACAGGTTGAGAAGCAGAAGTCAGTGGCTACGTGCCAATTGCCAAGGGCAGCTGGGGCGCTTCCAGATATTACAACACTAAAGAGGAGGGAGGCTGTTGTTGTTTATTATTCTGAGCAGCTTGGAGAGGGTGTGTGTGTGTATTGTAAAGTTTAAGTCCAGCTTGGGTTACAAGAGAGAGAAGTTATTGGGACCCCTCCCTCTGTTGATCCTCAACCTAGCAGCCTCGCAAAGAGCAGGTAATGTCACAGTGTCAGTCAGAGGCAGGGTTTCAAGCTGTGACAGTTTCACTGAGCGTGGCACTATGAACCTTGCCTTGCCAGAATCTCCATAAAACAGTAGGATGCTTTAAAAATCGCCTTGAAATCAATGTCAGATGCGTGAATTTCAGTCCATGCAAGAAAGGATTGACTGCTCTGATACAAAGAGAATTGAAGATGGTAGTTGGATGGGCTGATGGAAACTATGTAAGTAGCAGTATAACACTGGGACAAATTAGTGAATGAAGAAATGAAGCTACTTTTAAGTGTCTCACGGGGGAATAAAGCAATGTAGAATTGCAGATTCGTTTTCTGTTAGCCAGAACACCATCCTTAAAGTGACGACACGAATGTACCTGCCTAGTCAGTCTCAAGTGTTTCTCTCCTCCCCAGAGTTATTTTCAAGAATTAATTGGGGAAGGGAAACAAACTTGACAGGAAGACTCTCCACAGGACAAGAAGTGATGCTTTTTGAAATTTACCAGTGGACTAGCTCTGAGACATTACGTGCAATTTTTATAATTTCAGAGATGTGCCTGAGCTGCAGGCTTTAGACCTGCACCCCTGATGATCAGGTGGTGACTGGCTCTAGAGTTTTGCTTTTGGCCCTCTCTGTTTCTGTATAAATGTAGCTGTATCCTATCAACCTGCTTTTTCCCCTATTACTGTAAATAAACTGCATCAAAATTGCTAACATTCATTTAAATGCTTGGTTTTGGGGTTACGCAGACCAGAAAAATACTGTTCAAACTTTCTTAACATTGCAAATAGAAAATAGTTTCTGACAATCAATGGCTCTGGTTTTTTTGGTAATTTTCTTCCAAACGGTTCTAACCCCTTTCTTGGAAACTGAAAGGTTGCAATATTGGGTATAGGATTTTGGGTTTTGTTTTGTTTTTTAAATTTTTTACTATTATAGCTTTCTCTTTCTGTGTTATAAATCAGATGCTACTGCAATACAAATACTGATAGTGTGTTCATATGTTAATATGAAATATGTGACCTAAAGTTACAATCCTAAGCAGTACCAAAAATACAGAAGTCCAAGTACCTAGGTTCAATGGTATTCAGTGACCAACTTATAAGTAGTACAGGAAAGGCATAGACTAAATGGAGAGAAGTGAGCAGAGTGATCTGCCTTAGGAGAGTGCCTATCAAACTGAAAAGTAAGATCTACAAGACTGTAATAATTAGGCCTGCACTTTTGTATGGCTCTGAATGCAGGGCACTGAGGAAGAGACAGGAGGAGATCTTGAATACAGGGGGAATGATAATGTTAAGGTGGATGCTTGCAGTTACAAGGATGGACCATGTTCAAAATGAACAAATTAGGGGAAGTGTGAAGGTGGTACCAATTATAGAAAAGCAGAAGGAGTCCAGGCTTAGTTGGGTTTGGGCATGTGAAAAGAAGATGTGGAAGAATATATAAAACACAGGGTGTTAAACTTCAAAGTGGGGAGTAAGAGAAGAGTTGGAAGACCCAATACTAGATGGATGGATGTCATAGAAAAGGATTTGAATAGCTTTGGAGTTTCTGAGGAACTATTGTAAGATCGACTGGAATGGAGAAGGACTGGAAGATCCAACCCCATATAGATGGGACTAAGGCTACAAGAAATAGAAGTATTAACAGTAGGAAACAGGTTATTAATGTGTCACATTGATTGTAAGGAGAGCTTACAAAATGAAGTAAGATCTGAGATCTCTACTTGGTTTCTGATTTCTGGCCACTGTCCTCAGAAGAATGAAAAAGGAGAAAAGAAAACTGTGTACCGTATATACTCGTTCATAAGCCGAATTTTTTTAGTAAAAAAGGGAAGCACCAGAGTCGGGGGTCGGCTTATGAACGGGTATAGAGAGGGAGAGGTGGGACACAGCCCTTCCCCCCAACAGAGGGAGCAAGGAGAGGCAGCAGAGCCAGAAGGGAAGAGGCGGGGCCAGAGTCTCTCCACTTCTGGCCACGCTGCTCTCCTCCCAGCCTCCGAAGCAGCTGCAGCTCTGGGGTTGACAGGCTTCAGCCGTGCTGCTCGGCCCCGCCCCCCAGAGCAGGCTGTGGCCACGCCGCCCGGCCCACCGGAGCATGCTGCATCTGTGCTGCAGAACATGCTGCAGCCGTGCTGCTCAGTCTGGCCCGCCAGAGCAGGCTGCGGCCGTGCTGCCCAGCCTGCCGGAGCAGCTCCAGCCAGGCCAGAGACATTCTCCCATGGCCCCAGATAAGGTGGGAAGGGATGGGATGGGGAGAGTGTGGGGATCCCGGGCTAGGGATGGATGGGGTCATGTGGGGGGTGGTCACAGGGGTTACTCCCCTGACCCCCAGCTTCTTCTCCCCCCCAAAAAAACATTTCCCCACCAGTTGCTGTCCCAGCCCGTCAGGGTAAGCAGCTGGCGCGCCAGGACACTTTGTTTACTTAGGTTTACCTCCGTGCCTGCGGACGCACGAAGTAAACAAACCATCTTGGCCCGCCAGCAGCTTATCCTGATGGCCCGGGAGCCAAAGTTTGCTGACGCCTGAATTATAGGGTCGGTTTATGAATGGGTCATACAAATTTTCCATTTTTACTTATCCATCTTGTGGGGGTTGGCTTATAAATGAACTGGCTTATGATCGAGTATATACAGTCGTTTTCTTATGAAAAGATGCATGGAGTATCATGTTTGACACTGCTCAACTGGGGTCACTTGTGGTTACCAAACTTGTCAGATGATCAGCTTTTTTCTATATCAGACCTTTTTTATTTAATATATGGGTTTTAAATTTGGTGTTTCAGGAATGATATTGGTATGCATTGAAATAGACAGAGAAAATGCTGATCAATCCAATGAGCTGGTGGATATCTAAGTAATTCTTGTGAAAGATGTGGATTTCAAAGTTACCTCAGAACTCTTGCTTCTCTAGCTTACTGGAAGTGTGGTGGATGAGATCATCTCTAATTAAAAGTGCAATTTGCACTACTGTCTTGAATGGGTTATCTTAAAAGTTCCTTTAGATGCATAGTGATTAAAGAGGTTCTTAAATGTCACTACAAAATGGTCAGTATTTGATGCATCACTATGTTGAATATTCCAAGTAGGCATGGCCCCATTGGCCTTTCATTAATGTGACCTAGACTACCAAAAAAAAAAATTAAGAACAATACTAGACTCCAAAGCATCTTTCTGGCTCCAGGGCAAGTTATCTCTGCCAGGAGAGATTAATGTAGAGGGAAGAGGAACAGACTTGGAAAGTGAAAAGGCAACCAAAAGATGTCTAGTCAAGCTTCTTTTTGTTGGTGCTTTGGAGTAGTGATCAGTACTGATCTTAAGGGGCCATTAAGAAAATGCTCCTTGTTATGGTCAATAGGGAACAGAAATATCCTAATTTGGATTCCTTCAGGCTGTCCCACTATAAACAGAAAGATGCCTGTGATGGTGGGGAGAGTTCAATTCAATGATTTGGGAGTTTAAAAATGAGCTTTGTAGACTTAATTGAATGGTAGACCTCCCTCCATCTGCCTGAAGGGTTGGGAGTCTGGGAACTTGATAAAATGTGAACCATGATTTCAGTGCATGCAATCAAGAGCTTTTTATTGATTAGATAGTCCAAACTGATTTATTTTTTGTATGAGGCTTTCTGGCCTTGGTGTACAATTCTTTGTGTAGTAACCTGAGAGCCAGCTCTGACTTCTGTTGAAAGTGGAAGTGTTGGTTAAGTTATGAAGAGTCCCATTTGGTTTGCTCAAGTTTTTTGTCTTGCTTGATTGCAGAGTATATGCTTGGAATGCTGAATTTCTTGTATTTGGTTTCCACTGATGGCTTTCTTAATCAATTAACGTGATTGTGTACATTTAAAACCATTGAGCTGGGAAGAGTGCCACAGGTTTCTCTGCCATTTTTATGTAGTGTGCTTCATAGTGTACAAAAATGTATAATCTGGTAAAGTATGGAGAAAACGAAGGCTGCTTTATATGCATGTTTTTATTACATGGACTACATAAAGTAAATTGCGGAATGCTTCTTTCATGAAATATTAGGAAAATCTGTAAAGCCAAATACCGTATAAAGCCAAGTTAGTTAATTTTGTATCCAAAGTATCATTTTGAAATAAACTGGAATCGGGTCAAATTTAAAACATGTAGAAAGAAATCTTGATATTGTGAGAATTTAACTAGCCCTGAATTTAAGAACAGGGAAGTGGTTCAACTAAGGACAGGAATAAATAAAGCAGTATGACCTGCTGGGCCAAATTCTTCCCTTGTGTATCTCCATTGACGGCTTATATCCCCTGTGGGGTTACATTAGGAATGAATCTGGCCAGTTGCAACTTTGAAAGCATAGAGAAAAAGAACTTGAGTGTATCCAAAACCAAAGATCTGATTGTTCCCAAAGCTTAGGCAACAACACTTCTATGGAGTCACTGAACTGCTGATTTTCCTTCCTCCTCTCCCCTCTCCTCCCACCCAAAGAACAAATGATGCCGAGGGTTCTACATCTGTTGCCAAGTGGCTTAGAGTAAGCAAGTTTTGGG